ATTAACAACAATATGAAATTGTTGTGGAGAAAAAGATTTATCATTAAAATATGTTATAATACTCAACTCTTATTTTTCAAATGCACATTTTGTATTGAACCCAAATGGTAGTTACTTCAGACAAATGATCTTTCACATATGGTTCCCGTGTCACATGCAGTTTTCCTCAGCGATGCATGCAATTCTTTTTCAGATTTTGTAATTTAATTATTGCCTTTTGCACTGCATGTTGTCTCAGGCAATGAGAAGGCTGCCAATCAAAAGAGAATGCCACACGTACCTCCATGTGCATGGACCAAGGCTCCAGCATCTCCAAGACTCGCCAAAGAGCCAAAGAGCTTGTGGTTGGAGAAGACAGGAGCGATGCTGAAAATAGTTTGTAGGTTAGGCTGTGGGAAAGAGCCAGGTGAGGGTAATGGTCCATTGTGAAGTGGAATCAAAGTGAACAGGAACCAAGCACATTACCTCTGGTTTTAGATCACTTCAGCAAAGTCTGCACAATTTATTCTGAAGCGCATACAGGGAGATTGAATTTCCATCTTTTTCTTTTGGATTACTGCCGGATTTGAACATGTTTTGCAGAGTAAAAGTGAGTGTGAACTGTTATAAATGAACTTCCTTGATCCTCAAGAGAAGACGGTAGCAAGGAAAAAATGAACAACACACACATCATTGGTAAAGGGCTTAAAGTCACACTATGGCACATCAACTGCAGAGCGCTCACTTGGGTGACTTATTTCAGCATTTGATGAATAAATTGTAATAGTTCCATATAAACAAGCCATATTAAGCCAATATGTAAACATTTCTAAACAAGGATGATTTGTTTAGATCCTCTAGACCTTCTCTGAGTCTGAATCTGGCTGCAACGTGGGATCACTTTGTGACAGGCAGCCTGTTGCGGTAGGAAGCTGTTGTTATATTATTATTATTGGATGAAAAAACAGGCCTCATAATTTATGTCCTGAACGAGGGTAACAAAAAAGTCTGTAAAATGAATACTTCTGTAAAATTAGATTTCCCTAGAACACAGTCTAGAGTTTCCTAAAAGTAAAAGAATATGACAATATGCTTGAAACTTTTTCTAAGGTCAGTGGTTTCAACCAGAGAGGCAGTGTAATTGTGTTTGGCAAATTTCACCATAGCTTTAGCTTAAATGAAACTTGAAAAATATAAAGAGCGTATAACTGGTTCAAGCTTGCGAAGGCCCAGGACCAGGCAACGCTAGTTACATATTGCACCCTCGATTATGTACTGTATTGCACCCTAAATATGTACGTATTCTGTGGTTTACCTAGCTAGCAGGAATATCTCTTCATCCCCAGGTAGTAAGAAATGGAGATAAAGTTTCAGGTCTGGGAGGTCCAGCTTCATGGGGATCTCGGATCAAAGCAGAAATAAGAGGGGGAGTCTGAAAGTAGCAGCTGATTTGGTTGTTCAGGGTCAGGATGTGTCTGAAACCCAGGCAGGGGAGGGAGGCTGGAGAGAGGCTGATTACCCGAAATCAGGTGTGTTGGGATATACGCATGGCAGCTGGGGATGAATTCCAGGAGAACTGAGGTCAGTTTCTTCTAAGGTTGTGTCTCTGGGTGATTCCCAGTGTCTTTGTGCCTGAGTGTCCTTGTGGGCAGAGCTCACAGGGCATGGGAAGAGAAATGGAGAGATGCCCAAACCACAGGACAACCACACCATCTGGCTCTGAGGAGCCCCAGTAAACCCATTTAGTTTCACCTAGAACAAGGAACAGTTCAAACCTGGGGACCTGTGACACCACTGACAACAAAATATTCCAGGCAGGTTGGCTGGAGGAAGTGCCACGGGGACTGGCACTGGTCTCTGTCAGCATTGCCCATGGCAGCACTGTCCCCCCGTACCTTCACTGTAGCCTGCCCCAGGGGACACCAGCGGCCCTACAAAAGGCTGCATGCCCACAACCCACCTCCTGCAAGTAGGATGGATAGGGTGTTGGAAGCCAGGCTAAGCATAAGGCATGACTCCTCTGGACGTAGTGGCTCAGAGTATCATTTTCAGAGTGGTCATCCAACACAACCTGGAAATTTGGAGAGCTCTTCATACAGGCAACTGAAACAGAGAGAGCTGAATCCGTTTACAGGTGGAAAGGGACGAGCTCTCATTGATTTTTAAAGGTGGTATTTCTAAACTATGCCACTCAGTGGTTGGGATGGGGGGTTGGGGGATCTAGAATTCTCCTGTTTAATCAAACTGGTTGTAATGAAGAGACTATATGCTCCGTAGTATCAATAATTCACTGATATTCAGCTCATTAATTATGCTTGCTCAATTACTCCATCTCCATGAACTATCAACAATCTGCCTTCCCCTTCTTTAACCCCAGGGCTGACAAAGGTGGTGGTAGTGTCTAACGGCTACACCTTCCTCCGGTGGATGGAGATGGGTCAGTGGGAAGAAAAAAGGAATGCTTACCTCAGAAACCAAAACATAAAATACTTGAGTTTAGAGTAAAGATTTGACACATGAAACAGTTCACAAGTTTCCTGAATTTCTTTACTTATACTAGATGTTTAAAGTAGTATTAGTAGAAGCTCATCAGCCATTTAATCCAATGTGCAATACAACTTACACGATTAAAAGATAATATAGAAGCTCACTTTAGAAATACGAAATGTCCCACTATGTCCACATAGTAATAAATATTTTAAAGTCACAAGAATGGGGGTAGATCTCAGGCCTAATGAATCAATCATAAACTGTATATGAATTCAAAATGCTAATTATTTTTCTTTCAAATAGTAAGGAACATGTTTTCCTCAGACACAGCAGATCACTCGTCAGTCGGCAATTTTTGGTTGCTATCCTTCAGTTCTCTAAGGTTACTGTCTGAAGAATTAGAAAAGTGTTATCAGTTACTCCTTTTGAGGAATTTTCTAAATTCCTGCACAGTCCGCTCCTTGCACATTCCCTGATGACACAGGTTTAAAGCAATGTTCTTCTTTCCTCTTTTTCTCTTTAAAGCATTCCTTCTGCACTGTGTTTTCAAAGAGAAGTAATTTTCCTTTGGAGAAATGAAGCTTCATTATTGATTTCATCCAGTGTATGAGAATTAATGGAAAGATTTCTTCTTGCAAACACACTCATGGGCTTTGGATGGGATTCTTGGTAGTTTTTAGTTTGGGAAACTGAATTATATTGATTCTTCAATGCAAAAATTGTTAGTTAACTTAGGGTCCAATGTAAATCACACAACTGAGCAAGCATCAATCGGTCTTACAAACACTGCAAGAGCTGTTAACAATCCTAATCCAACCCAACACTACAGGATCTCTGTAATTACCTGATGACTGTATTCAGATTTAAGTGTTTTACTCACAACTTGTACCAAAAATAGACATTCCAGTCAACTACCAGAGCATAAACTAAAAGCTGAGTCAAGTCTCTGATATCTGAGCCCTGCTTTAGAGCAGCAAATGGCTACTGCAGCTGGTATTCACGTATTTTCGGCAATCCCAGACTAAAGGTACTGTCTCCAAGTCAGTGAAATGCACTCGAGTACATGTCAACTCAAGCCATCAGACCAACAGAAGGAATTCATATTTGTAAAAATGTTCTTTAACTTTTGCTCTACAGTGGTTACTTTTTGTGGATTTAATCCTCCGCCCCTGGCTCAGGCGAGACCATACCTGAGAGGTTTCCAACGCTTTTTGACCTGGTGTTAAACTAACGCTGTGATACTGCACCACGACCTTTCTGGTACACTATGGTCCTTATCAGAGCCATAGGCCCCCTGGAAAGACCATGTTGTATAACCATCACTTTGGGCATCCCTACAGTCAACAGATGGGGATACCTCTAACTGCACAGGAAAAATTGTGTGTGTCTCCCCTCTGTGACGAGAAAGACTCTCTGATGCCCCCACTAATTTGTTGATCCCCAGAACACACCAGTGCCCATTGCGCTGGCTCTGCTTCATCAGCTCCGACCTTAATAGAATCATAGAATCATCTAGGCTGGAAGAGACCCTCGGGATCATCAAGTCCAACCATCTACCCTACTCTAAAGTTCTCCCCTACACCATATCCCCCAACACCACATCTAAATGGTTCTTAAACACAGCCAGGGATGGTGACTCAGCCACCTCCCTGGGCAGCCTATTCCAATGCCCGACCAAATAGTTGAAGCTGCATCATAAACACTGATCACCACCTCCAGTAGCCTAAAAACGGTTAGGTTTGCAGAAAATCTAAGTGCGCCCTTCAAGAAAACGGGAGCCTGGAAACAGTCCGTGATTCCTGGCAACATCCAGAACTAGAGAAATGAAAGACGACTGGCCTGTATATCCCTAATCCCACAAATATTTACACACATTCTTCCGTGCGTGCGCTGCACGCCGTCCCATTGAATCCGACGGGACTGCTCGTGGTGCTTCGCTCAGGGCCAGGGTGATCTTCGCACGTCCCACAGCCTCTTCCCAACCAGTGGACACGCACCCCTGGCTCCAGGACCTCTCGTTTGGTGTGTGGTGGCCTGAGGCCTACTGGTGCAAGACCCTCAAGAAGACCAGGGCTTTAGTCGAAAACCCCTGGGTGGGGAGGGCCGGGAGAGGACTGTTCTCCCCGTTGGCAACATCATGTCCCACCCGAGCTCCCCAGTCACCGGTGGGTGTCCTGCTCCCCACGGGCAGACCCTGCTGCCCACGCTCCCCCCCCCCGCCTTCTCCCGCACCCCGGGAACCCCACGGCCCCCTCAGGACGCGGCGGGGCGGGCTGCGTCTCCCCCAGCCCCGGCCGCCGGCGGGACCCCAAGCCCTCCCCCGCCGCCCGGCCCCGGC